CAGATTAATCAAAAGGAATACAAAAGCGCCTGCCTGGCAAGCAAAAGCGCCTGCCTGGCAAGCACAAGGTCATGAGTTCGGTTCCCGGTACCGGAAAAAAGCCGAAAAAAAAAAAAAAAAAGAAGCCAATAACCTACATTGGAGGAAAGATAGCCTACTATTTTACAAGTGGTGCTGGGAAAATTGACTATTTGTAGATCAAAGCTCGACCCATATACTAAAATTAAAATGAATCAAAGATCTGAATATTAAAACAGAAACATTCAAACTACTTGAAGATAAAGTAGGTAAAAACCCTTGAAGTCACAGGCATAGGTAAAGATTTTCTGAATAGAATCTCAATTGCATAAGAAATACAAACAAGAATCAACAAATGGGATTATGTCAAACTGAAAAGCTTCTGAACAGCAAAGAAATCAATTAGTGAAGAGACAACGTACAAATGGGAAAAAATTTTGCCTGCTATTTGTTGGACAAACAACTAATATTTAGACTATACAAAGAATTAAAAAAAATTAGACCACCCAAAATGAAAGGCCCAACTAAGAAATGGGCAAGTGAAATGAATAGACACTTCTCAGAAGAAATATAAGTGATCAACAAACACATGAAAAAATGTTCCACATCACTGGCCATTGGAGAAATGCAAATTAAAGCAACACTGAGATTTCGTTTTATACCAATAAGAATGGCAATCATCAAAAGTCATGGGTGCAGTGAACAAGAAACCCTCCTCCATTGTTGTTGGGAATGTAAACTAGTACAACCATTATGGAAATCAGTATGGAGATTTCTCAAAGAACTAAAATTAGAAATCCTATACAAACCAGCTATTCCTCCTTTAGGCATCTTCCCCAAAGAGCTAAAGACAACATATTAAAGCAATCCATGCACACCCATGTTTATAGCAGCACAATTCATAGCACGAAGCAGCCTCTATGCCCATCAACAGATGAATGGATTAAGAGTACTACTAGGCTATAAAGAAGGATAAATTCAAGACGTCTGTAGGAAAATGGATGCATCTGGAAAATTTAATGCTGAGTGAAATAAATCAGACACACAAGCTTAAATATCATATGGCACTTCTCATTTGAGTAAGGCAAAGTACAAAGAGCAAAATAAAGGGTAGACAGAAGGAAACAAGGGGATTGATCTCTTGCAATTGGCAAGGGGTCGAGAAGACTGAAGGAGACGGGGAGGGGAAGGAGAAGGGGGAGGAAGAAGACCTATGCAATGCCATGTACAGGTACCAAATACTCACAATGAATATAAACATTATGTTATAAGCATGAGCTGAGAATATTAACGAGAAGAATGAAAGTGGGGAAAGGGAATTTAGAGGAGGGAGGGAAGTGAGTGGAAAGGCGAGGGGATTAAGAAAAGAAACAAGGCGTGTTATGCACATACACCTATTCCTCAGGACGAATGGAAACTTAAAACTGCGAACACACACTAATAAAACAACTCCCGATCTTAAATGTTGTTCTCAGATGTTTGCACAGTGGGAAAAAGGAAGAAATATTCAATTTGCAGAGCTATGGAAGGAACAGCGGCGTTTCACATTAACTAAAGTAGTGTCATTAGTTTCCTCCTCAGACTCTTGGTGATCAAGCAAGGAAAGGATTAAAAGAAATTACACACATAAAATGCATGTTATTATTTTCTACTCAAACATACTGTATCATTTGGTTACAATAACTCATAAAAGGTAGACCGAACTGGCTAAGAGAGAGAAGGACAGGAGGACCAAGAGGCCAAGAAAGATGGGTGGAGTAAGGAAGGGGTACTACTGATGTAGACATAAAAACACACTGGTCACCTTGGACACAACAAATCTCACTATTACATATGTGTGTATAAATGTAAAGAACCGAGAACAAAGAAATCAATTCTTTTTTTATTAAGTTTATGGTACATTTTAGGTATACATAATGATCACATTCATTACATGGAATTTGTACATGGATATGATATAATTTGATTTTTTTTTTCCCCATTCTCCTACTCTCCCTTAGAAGGAAATCAATTTAAGGGTACCTATCTCAGGAGATAAGGGTCCATACAAGAGCTCAGTCAGGCAGGACAACTGTCCTTTTTATGACACAGCCTTTATTACTTAAAAACTAAAGTTTCCCATACTCTGAATTGACAGTTATTTTCCAAACTGTTATAGAGGTTCTAATATTAAGGCTGGGACTGAACACATTAAGAAATTAGCATCGCCATATCCAATTCTGGTCTTAGTAATGAGTGAACCTTCCTTGAGAAATTTCCCAGATTTACGTGCCTTCGCTCCCCAGTGTCCCTCTTCTTTGGCAGTGAGGGGTGAGGCTAGGAGACAAAAACTTTGAAAAGGCATCCCAGAGATAAGAAACCTCCCACTCCCACCCCAGACAGAGTCATTGGTGGCAGTCACAAAGAACAGTCCTGAGCCTTTTCATTTCATCTTCTTGGCTATGTGGGCTTTGATCAAGAATTTCCTTTCTAAGAAGTATGGTTATTCCCTAGTTCATTACACTGTACTGATAAGCACCACCTTGGGTAGAACTGTAGGCAGAACTTCTTTCTGCATCTCCTGGACATGTACCCTATCTGGGCTCCTCAGTATGGTCATCACTGGCCACATGTGCCTACTGAACAGTTAAAATGTGATGAGGAGACTGCGAAGCTGTACACTGAATTTATTTCGTTTTAAACAAGTTAAATAGCCACATGTGGCTAGTGGTGACCACACCACACAGTGAAGCGCTGTATCAGCTGGTTGTGTGGTCCTAAACATTTGCATGGTACTAAAGATTCAGTGACGACAGTTCTACACAGAGAAGATGCTGCTCCAAAGCCACAGGTAGGGCCTCTGCCCCGATCAATCACCTCAGGAAACTGCATCACTTTTAGAGAAAGAGCTAAGAAAGAAGGTAGATGGCCAAGAGCAAACTTATCACCACTGTGGGAAAAGGAATTATATCATATCCATGTACAAATTCCATATAATGAATGTGATCATTATGTATACCTAAAATGTACCATAAACTTAATTAACAAAAAAAGAATTGATTTCTTTCTTCTCGGTGCCTAGTCGATAGAAGGGAGTGCAGGATATCATTTCTATACATAAAGTATAAAGGATACTGCTTACCTTTTCTTCAAAATGATAATTCCTAGGATCATGTTGGCAATTAGAGAGCCCTGTACAAGGAGACAACAGTGGCAGAGTTTTAGTGCAAGTAAAGGAATTAACATAATTCAAGGTGAATGTGAACATGCACACGGGGAAAAACATGGAACGAAGGAGGATAGGATGAACAATTAACAAGGTTCAGTTGTTTTCATGATGGCAAAAAGTCTAGACCATAAAAATCCAACATATGAAATAATAAGACCTTTTAAAGATGACAAAAAGAATAAAAACGACTAGTTTTCAGTAATTGGTCCTAGTTGAAGTTATGGCTAACAGGAATAAGTAATACCATAGACTTGCTTTTGTCAACCTATCTGTCTAATTTCTAAGACTTTGAATAAGCTTTCTTCCCACCTCCAGTCTAAATGGAAGAAGTCACGCAAGTGTCCCCCTCATCTCTGGGCAAGTGTCAATCAATCAACAAGTGTTTACTGGGGCTGGGAATTTAGCTTAGTGGCAAAGTGCCTGCCTGGCAAGCGCAAGGTCATAAGTTCTATTCCTGGTACTGGAAGAAAAAAAACAAAACAAAACAAAAAAATGCAGGTGTTTACTGACAGTCTTCTACATGCTCAATGCCTTGAAGGTCACCTTAATAATGATAATTAGCTCTGGAAAGTCTTTTCAGGAATAGCACATTCCATCTTACAAAAATCTCAGGCCACATGGAAATAGTTTTCCAGTCATCACTCACTTATCATCCTTCTGCGCTTCTACCTATGTATGCCTTGAAGTTACCCCTGCTCTTCTGGGAATTGTTATTTATATACAAACTACACCATACTCAGGGAAAGAAGAAAACCGG